TTTATTTTTTAGAGAGGGAAGGGAGAGAGAGAGAGAGAGAGAGAGAGAGAGAGAAACATCAATGTGCGGTTGCTGGGGGTTATGGCCTGCAACCCAGAAATGTACCCTGGCTGGGAATCGAACCTGGGACACTTTGGTTCCCAGCCCGAGCTCAATCCACTGAGCTACGCCAGCCAGGGCTATGTATACAAATTTCAAATGGACTAATGGTGAGCTCCAGCAAGGACACTAGCATGTCTACACCCTAAGACGCAGTTTATTCCTTCGGCTTCCTCTGAAATGGTGCTGGGTAGCGGCTCTCCTCTGACTCCATGCAATAGAACTCAGCTGCACACTCATGCACACCGTGAGCAGGGCACACGGGTTGAGATTACAAAGACGACCAGAACCCATTTCACGCACCCAAGAAACTAGTAAGGCGGTGGGGGGGGGCACCCATTATGACCTGTGCAGCTAGAAATAAAACTTCTTTTTAGATTAAAAAAATGCATGCAGCAGCCAGGGCAATTTGCAATGCCCTAGACTAAATTCAGCTCACCTACGGAGCTCTCACTCGCATTTGTGCTTGTCGTCACTTTTTGGAATTCAGCCTAGGGCAGCCGTATATGTCACCACGTCTGCTAGTTTATACTTAGAACAAGTGTGAGGACTCATGAGAAACAGACCTAGATCTTTTCTGTGGCGCCTGGGAGGCAGTCGGCTGCTTCAGGATGAAGCTGAACATCTCTTTCCCAGCCACTGGCTGTCAGAGGAAAGGTTGTGGAGAAAAGGGGACCCTAGTGCGCTGTTGGTGGGACTGCAGACTGGTGCAACCACTATGGAGAGCAGTATGGAACTTCCTCAGAAAACTAAAAATGCATCTGCCTTTTGACCCTGCGATTCCACTGCTGGGACTATATCATAAGAACCCTGAAACACCAATCCAAGAGAACATTTGAACCCCAATGTTCATAGCAGCACAATTTACAATACCTAGATGCTGGAAGCAACCTAGATGCCCATCAGGCAATGAATGGATCAAAAAACTGTGGTCCATTTACACAGTGGAATTCTGTGCAGCAGAAAGAAAGAAGGAGCTCCTACCCTTTGTGACAGCATGGATGGAGCTGGAAAGCATTATGCTAAGTGAAACAAGCCAGGTAGTGAAAGAGACAAATACCATATGATCTCACCTGTAAGTAGGAACCTAAACAACAAAACAAAGAAACAAGTAAAATAAATACAACCAAAGACACTGAAATAGAGGACAGGCTGACAGTGCCCACAGGGGACAGAAGAGGGAATTTCAGGGGACAATGGGAAGGGTTTACAGGAACAAATTTAAAGGACACATGGACAAAAACTAGGGGTGGTGACAATGGGAGGGAAGTGGGGAGGGTTGGGTGGGTGGGCTGGGTTGGGAGTAAAAGGGAGAAAACTGTACTTGAACAATGATTAAAATAAAAAAAAAGAAACAGACCTATTGGCAAAAAACCCCACAAAACATTTAGTAATACTCTCGAAAAGGCAGCCAGGAGAAAGGAGGAGGAAGGGCTCTACTTGGGAAATTATTTTAATGCCAGAGAAAGAGAGGACATTTAAAACAGATGAAAGGCAATTATTACGTCCTTCAGATTTTTATATCTCAGCAGTGCATGAGAATGTGGCTGCTATTGAGTTACCCTCTGTTTGAAAGGATGAGGATTGTAGGTATAAATAGAAGCGAAAGGCAGAAAAAGACTCACGTGTCCAGCAGAGACTGACAAGTATGCGAAATAATACCTTCTCCTCCGGAGACTGCAACAACGCTCGCGTGCCAAGTTTAAGCTCCTCCGGGAATCAGGGAAGGGAAAGTCAGGGGAAACCAAGGTTTCCTTTCTTGCACATCTTAAACCAGTCCACACCTTCACCAAACGTCGAGGCGATAATACTAACACACGGCAGCCGTCTCTTGAAGATGTCTGGGCCCACGGGGTGTTTTGTTATCCCCACACTTGACCTATTTCTAGCTGAGCATTAACGACTCTTCAGAGAGGTGTGAATCATCTAAGCCCTGAAAAGACAATATCCCCTTCCCTCTTGAGTTCCCAGGGGCCATGGCTCCAGAAACTAAAAAGCAGCCAGGGAGAGGGCTACCCCTCGTGGGAAGAAGTTGGAAAACTGCTGGGCGCAGGATTAGTTAAGAGCAGAGCTTTGCAGCCAGTGATCTGGTTTTGAATCACAGCTTGGTCAATTACTTTCTTCATGACCTCGGGCATTTTCTTAACCGCGCTGTGCCCCAGTTTCCATATCTGGAAAATGGGATGACGATGGTGACTCCCTCTGCCTCGGAGGGGTAAGTGAAGATTGGATGAATACACTCATTAAGACTGGTTGAGCTGGAGTAAATGCTCCATAAGTATTCGCAGTTACTCAAAGAACTGAACCGGGTTAAATATTCCCCGGCCGTTCTGTATCGCTATTTCCCCACCGCCCACCCTGCACAGACTTCGTAGTTCAGCTGTATTTTGGATCATTTCATAGATGGCGCCTCATTTCTCAGGTTTACATTTCTGAAACTGCTATGGAGGTTAAACAGGTTTCGAATTTTTGTCCCAGTTGCGATGTTTCCTTTTTAATCTATTTTCGCCGTCCAGTTGTACTTTTATTATTAGCCACCTCACCTGCTATCTCGATGCAATCAAGCTTAAGACAAATAACTATAATTAGTCTAGTTTGCTACACATTGTCAAGGCTGCTGTCCTGTTCATAAAAATGTTACTAGGGCTCCAAGGACACTGAGCTGGAATTATCTGTCCCACGTGTCCTAAATCTTTGAAATAAGCCACGGAAGCCGAGCGCAGCTGCTGTGATATAAATATGGCCTTCCACGAAAAAGCGTGTCATGGCCAGAAAGAAATTAAAAGCGGCAGGCCGAGTTTCAGAGCCCACGAGAATGTGTGGCCTCTCCGGTTACCGGGAAGCAAATATAGACCAGGCTGGTTATGTGAACACGTTTCATTTCATTCTGTCCGTCTCTGCTCATTCCCCAGCCCCAGAGACTGGATCAACCCAGTTATAAGTAGGTCGGCTTGCTCTTCTCCTGTCCGCCTCAGAAATGTCCCTTCTTTTTTTTTTTTAAGATTTTATTTATTTACTTTTAGAGAGGGAAGGGAGGGAGGGAGAGAGAGAGAGAAAGAAACATCAATGTGCGGTTGCTGGGGGCCATGGCCTGCAACCCAGGCATGTGCCCTGACTGGGAATTGAACCTGCGATGCTTTGGTTCACAGCCCGCGCTCAATGCACTGAGCTACGCCAGCCAGGGCAGAAATGTCCCTTCTTTTCAAGGCAAATTTTTTTCTACCTTTGGTCTTGAGTTCATCCCCTTCCTGCCTTATGGGACTCTTTTTTGCGTGTGTGTGTGATTACAACCTCTCCATTTCTACTGGCAACTTTTCCTAGTAACCACACGTATGTAACTATTTCCCCTGACCGAGAAAACATCCTCATCCCGATAGCCTGGCCTCGGCTGCCCCTCCACCGGCACTGCAAAGGCCGGTGGTCTCCCAACTGCCCCTCTCTGTCATTCTGCTTGACCTCCTCGGCCGTGACGGTTGACCGCTTACTGGACGTGACGGTTGACCGCTTACTGGACGTGACGGTGTGCGTGCCAGGAAGGTACTTTCCATCCCCACCCCCAGACACTGTTCACATGTATCCAGCTTCAGAGAGATGCTCATTTGGATGAAATTCTTTTGGCTTCCTGAGTAAACCGAGGGGCCCATGGCACTTAGCCAGACACTTGCGTGGAAGCTGTGCCAAGAGACACCTGCCCGGACTCGGATTCTATATTTGTCGAAGGAAACGCTGCAGAGGACATGCTGTCTGACGCAGTGTTCCTTTCGAGAGGGCCCACGGGAGAATTCTTTGGAGCGCCCGATCTGTTCTTATCTTATGGGCACTGTGAACGTGGTGTGATCACTGATTGTGTTTCCCTTCTTGCTCTGGTTGCTAGGGAACCCGGGACAATGGCGCAGGCCTCACGCAGCAACTGCCCAAGACCTCTCGACACATGTTTTATGGTCTCGCTTCACCTCTCCCTTCGCTTTCTTATCACTTTCTCGCAGGCTTCCTCCTCTCCCCTCTTCCTGCTGCTGTCCCTTTTTATTTTTTCCTCTGCAGCTAACATCCTTCAGTGAACCCCACCTTCTTTGCTTCCTGCCTTTTTTTTTTTCCTCTTCAGCGAACATCCACGCGCTCCATGCCTGGCATTGTGCTAAGGGTGGGGCACACAGCCATCGTCACCCCAAAACACCCACCTGCAGCCCCGGTCGGGTCGCTCAGGGCTCCGGAAGGGAACCTGGTGCTTCACGCAACTTAGTGTTTAGAGTCGCTTAGTGTTTCTCTGAGGACGCTGGCCACTCTGCGGTCCCTGCTCTGGACAGGATCCTAGTGATCCACCACCCAGGCACACCGCCCTCGTCCTGGTCACCCTCGGGTCATGTGTTGCGTCCCCGTACACCCCACCGATCAGTCAGTTCGCTTGCCCCTTGCACACTCCTCTACCGCAGCAATTTCCCGCCTCTGTCATCGCATGGCACACACAGACTGATTACTGAAATTCTATGGTACAGCGGAGAGTACATTGTTTTTGCTGATCTGACAAAAAATAGGTATAATTTTGACGCATTCATACCAGACAGCTAGCTATCATTGTGTTGGCTGTTGTCTTTTTCTTTTTTTTAAATTTGACAACCTCAGGGAGAATAGGTGGTTGCCCCTGAGGAAATAATCAGGCATGGCATGCTTTAAAAATTCTTGTAGCACACTGGGTAAAAATCCCTGGTCTACAGTGTACAGCCTTTCATAAGAGCACAAACACACCTTCTTTTTTAAAAAAATTTATTTATTTATTTATTTTTAGAGAGGGGGAGGGAGGGAGGGAGAAAGAGAGAGAGAAACATCAATATGTGATTGCTTCTCACACGGCCCCCACTTGGGGACCTGGTCCACAACCCAGGCATGTGCCCTGACTGGGAATCGAACCTGCGACCCTTTGGTTCGCAGCCCGAGCTCAATCCACTGAGCGGCACCAGCCAGGGCCACAAACACAACTTCTGTTGGGAGAAGTAAAACAGGTGATGAGGGAGCGAGAGCGCGCCGTAGGACTGGGGGCTGGACAGCCAAGTGGCGGCCGGCCGGGTGGTTTTCCTTCTCAGTTCCTACTTCCTGGGGACAGTTCCCTCACCTTCCGCTTTCATTTCCTCCCCGTGGCGGGCACAGGCATGGGGACGGGCCCTTCTGCTTCGTTCCTGATTCAGTCCGTTATTTTTGGACTGGCATGCCAGAGCACTGTACCTCCCTCGTCAGGGCAGGGGCCGGGGGAGGCTGTCCAGGGTTCTATTTTCGCTTCCAGGAAGCCTGGGGTCAAATTTCACAGCTCTGCTAGCCTTCACAGCTTACAGGACGAGCGCTGCTCTTGAAAAATCAGAAAACAACGCTACTGTCTGAGTGCCTCCGATTTTAAGTCGTAGCCCACCCTTTTTCAAGCACATGGGGAACTTAACAATGACTGACCGGCCTGGAGCAGAGCTCAGACAGACCACAGCCTCCCGGGCATTGAGTGAGTCAGACTGCCAAGTCTGCAGCGCGTCCATCCACCGTGTCCGGGTGCCCAACGTGGTGGCCTGCTGCTGGCAGGCTGTGGCGTCGGGGGCACAGTGACGTATCAGAAACCCTGCGTTCACACCCACCTTCTCTCTTCTCTTCCCCGTGACCAGCGATCTTCACCTTGGGCGAGTCTCTCTCCGATAGGCCGCGGGACTCGGGGGGAGAGATCCGGCTTCAGAGAGGCTGGGTGACTCTGGGGCAGGTCACAGGTCACAGGTCATGGTCTCTTTTCTGCGCCTTTTACTCACCGTCTCGTCAGCTCAGGGCAGTTGTAAGGATGCTAAGTACACGTCGCCGTCTCCCTCGGTTGTGGGGAGCTGTTTGCCCTCTGTCTGAAACTCATGTCCCTTCTCTTTCCAGACAGGGACTCCCAATCCAGACTCAGTCCCGGGGGCCTTTCTGAGACACCCCCCCGCCCCCCCCCCCCCCAACAAGCTCAAGCAGCCAGGGAAACGCTTGCACTGACTTGTCTCTATGACCAGCAGGCATCTGGCTGACCACGGTCTGTGTGCGGAGACTCGTCTTGGGGTCCGTGTGCCCTGGAGGGCCTGGCGGGAAGGCTGGTGGGATAGACAGGAGCGGGACTGGAGTGTCTTAAGTCACGGCCTTCCTCCCAGTGCCAGTTCCAATCCCCAAAATGGGGGGTGCAGGGGACCATACAGCGCAGGGTAAGCACGTCCACCCAGTGGATCCAAAACCGCGCTGACCTGGGTCGTCCCCATTTCAGAGACAAACGAAAAAGATACAAAGTCACTGCACTGAGGTCGACGGCCGGCGACCTTGGGTTTAAAACGGGAATTGCACTCCACTCAGGAGCTGCGCTTGCTGCCGGCTGATGGCTGCTCCCTGGAGTGGTTCCTGGGTTTCGGGGTCATCTGTCCCTTCCCGACTCCAGGGGAAGATTCCCCACGTGCATGCTCTCCAGGGCCCTTCCGGCCACACCCCCAGGGTCTGGCTCCACCCCCGCCCCGCGCTGGCCCGGACCTCAAACCCGGAGTCTCCCCAGGTTGTCCGGGACACGCTACCCTACCCGCGGTGACGCAGCCTTCCTGCAGAGCGCGCGTGCGGCTGGAGCACCTGTCCCCAAGCAGGGGGCTGTCACCGCCACTGTCGCCGCCCCTCGGCACGCCCCGAGCTCGCGTCTGAGCCCTGGCGCCCCTGGGCTGGAGAACAGCGAGGGCGCCACCCCGGTCTGCAGGGCGACCCTGCGCGTTGGGCGTCCGCGGGCACGGCGACCGCGCTGTGGGGCGCGCTGGCCGGTCGCTCAGAGGCTTCGGCCGCGGGGCCCGGGCGCTGCCGGAAGCAGGGGCGGGGTGCGCCCGCGCGGGATGCTGTGAAGGGCGAGCGGGTCGGCAGCAATGAGTGCCTCTGCGGCCACCGGGGTCTTCATGTTGTCCCTCTCGGCCATCCCGGTCACCTATGTCTTCAACCACCTGGCGGCCCAGCAGCAGTGAGTGGGCGCAGGGGGCGGTAGGGGCGGGGGGGGGGGCAGGCAGCGCCGGGGACAGCGGGAGCCCCAGCAACTTTTCAGATGGGGCTGAGGCGTCACTGCAGAGCCGTGGGTCGCGGTTGGTGGGGGAGCAGCCTCCGGCCAGGGGAAGGAGGGGAGGCACCCAGGGGGTCGCGGCGGCCGGGGTCTTCGCTCAGGCTGGCATTCTTGCCATTCAGCTCCATCCTGGGCCAAGGGCTGGGTACCCGTCCGGCGCCGGCACTGTGCCAGGCACCGGGGTTAGAGGTCTGTGAGGCGACGCCCCTGCCCTGGTGGCCTCAGGGGCGAGACTGGGGGCCGTGAGACACCCCCGGCTACGGGCCCGCGTGCTGGGTGTGCTCCTGCCTTGTTTGGAGTCCCGCAGGAACACTTCCATGTTTGGACACACGCATACTTATCGTTTCGTAGTAATTTTAGCAACCGCTCAGAATGGCCAGCAGAAACAGCCCTGAACCAGGGGGCGAAGAAGACCCGGGTTCCAGCCTGGCTTTGGCCCTGACCGGCGGGCGGCCCGGCCTCCGAGTTCTGGTCTGTCCGACGGCCTGCACTTGCTTCCCGGGTCAGGATCGGGGGGAATACTGGGGGGCACGGGGCGTGGGGAGGGAGGCTGTGCTGCTGAGGGAGTGGGGGAGGCTGAAGCGCCCTGTTTGGAGCCCTGCCCCTCAGTCCTCAGTGAGGGGTCCCTCAGGCAGGGACCCCCCCACCGCCAGCAGCGGCCCGGCCCGTGGGGAGGGTGCCAGGCTTAGCGCCTGCCGGCGTTCCCTGCTGTCTGCAGCAGGAGGAAGTCCCCGGCTAGGCTGCCCGCAGCAGCTGGTGCTGAGGAAATTGCGTCAGACCGGAGGCGGCAACCCCCCTCCAGCCTTCAGCCTGCGGAGACCTAACTGTCTGCCCACAAGGCTGGGACTTCCTCCTCCGTCGCTGCTGGGGTCGCCCCTTGCTTGTCCAGGTGGCAGCCACTGGTCCCGACTGATCGCTGGGCACGGGCGGTGGCTGCCCTTGGTGTGACCCGGTCTCGGGCTCGTCTCCTGGAGCACACAAGTCTGGGCCGTGAATGCCACAGGTCTGGGACCGTAGGGCCGTGGGGGACCCTGGCCTCCTCCAGTGGCATTCTGGGCCACTCAGCAAATACTTATGGAGTGCCCACAGCATGCCTGGCACTGCTTTACAAGGTGGGGGTGTAGCTGTGAACAAGTCAGAGGAGACTGGGGAGGCATGTGTTGAGACGGAGGTCGATGGATAACATGGGGCCGCACGGGGGAGGGAGTGGGAAGGGGACTGGTAGTCAGGAAGGGCTTCCTGGAGGAGGTGACCCTTGCGCTGCAGGTGGTGGCCACAGGACCATCTGGGGGCAGAGCCCTCCAGGCAGGGGAACAGGGCGCCGCAGTGCGGAGAGAGGGGCGTGGCCAGTGGCGGCGGTGTTTTAGGAGGAGCCGCACAGCTCGCTGAAGAACTGCGCGAAGGGGAGGGGATTTCAGGGTGACCCTGAGGTTTTGGCCTCAGCCACTGGTCAGAGAACGGGAGCCATTTACTGAGTCCTGGTGTCCCTGAGCACACTGCTGGGCCCTGCGGGTAGGACCAGGTTCCCGCCAACCTTCCCATCCTCCTCCTGCAGCTGGAATCCCAGTTGCCCTGGACCGCTCCCTCTTCTTCCTCCACTCGCTGCCGTCCACCGCCCCTTCCCTGCAACGCCCTCCGTGCCGTCTCCCCTGGCTCCGGCCCCCTCTGAACGGGACCACGGCAGAGCCTCCTCCCTCGGGGGGCTCCCCTGCCCTGGTGCGCCGCCCCCCAGGCTAGAGCTTCGGCCGCACCAGGCTGCGCTGTGCCCCTGGGAGACACTCCTTCACCACCCTGCCCCCTCTCCGCCGCGCAAGCCGGTCTCCCCTCCCCCTCGTCCCCGACGGGTGGAGCCACGCTTGCACTTTAGGCCCCAGAGTGACATGCCACCTCTTCCTCTTCCAGACCCTCCCTCCAAGCAGATGTGACCTCTGCCCCCTTCACCAGCCCCCTGCCCACCCCGCCTACGTTGTGTCTCTCCCACAGGTGTTTCTTTCCTGGGCCAGGGCTTTCCTTCCCAGCCATAGCTCACCTTTGCGTTGTCCTGCCGGGCACGGGGCCTCCTGCATAGTGGGCCTTCAGTGAAGCTGAAATTCGCTGAGGCTAATCCCTTCCCATCAGACCTTTCGTGAGAGCCTGAAGCACAGGAAAGGCAGATTAGGCTGAGGAGCCGGGAAAGGGGTGGGATCTGTCTGACTGTCTCTCTCGGGCGCACACACACACACACACACACACACATGGCTCGCTCTCACCCACACACGCCCCCTTTCCAGTGTCTCTGTTCACAGAAGGACACCAGTAACCTGTGCCCCCCCCCCACCCAAGAGGAAGAGCTTTCCCACCCTCGGGGTAGTCAGAGGCCTCTCCCTACCCACCCCCCTTTCTCCAGCCCCTGCTGGCCCGCTTCGTCCCTGTTCTGAGCGCGTCCTGCCCATTGTGGCCATCTCTGGGAGACACAGATGGGCTGCCGCCCCAGTTTCTCTCCCATCTCTGCGCCTCCTCTGGAGGGGACGGCGGGAGGGGACGCCGTGACCCAGTGACCCGGCTCCTCTCTGGGCTCCGGGGGCGCCCGCTGTGTCTGTGATGCTGCCGCGGCGGTCAGCCGACATCCCCGGAGGAGCCGGGACGGGGGTCGTCCTGGCCGCTGCCTGCCTCTGGTGGCGGTGAACGTGCCCGTCGGCTTACACAGCACGCCGGACCGTCGTCCTCTTCACGGGACGCCTCAGCTCAGCGCCATGCCCTCAGCCTGCGCTGGCCTCCGCGGCCGTCCTCCCCTCCGAGGGCGCACTCACTGCTGCAGGAGGAGCCCGGAGCACCCAGGGGTGTGCACCGCTGGGAGCTTCCTGCCGGTCTCAGTGTCCTACCTGGGTACCGTGGTGGCCACACTCGTTCTTGTCGCTAAATCGTGTCATCCTTGCCTCTGTCCAGCTACCATCCACTGTCCATCCATCCACCATCCACCATCCATATCCCCCCACCCACTCATCCACCATGCATCCCTCCACCCACCCACGCACCCACCACCCATCCCTGCACATCTCCTTCCTCATCTCCCGTCCCCGCCTCCCCTCTCTCACCCGTCCATTCCTCACACCCTCACGAGGTCCCAGGCAGACTGTCAGCTCCGAGCACCCAGGTATCCTGAAAAAAATCTGTGCGTCCCTGTGCCCCACTCCTGCAAGCGCAGGGGACGGCGACCACCCAGGCGCACCCCCCTGCCGTCCGCATGCCGGGGAGAGGACGTTCCCGCAGCTGGGGCCCCGTCTCCTTGGGGCCCGCCAGCTGCAGGCTGGCTGGGCCACTTCCCGACCGTGACCTTGGGGGCGGGTCTCTGACTGGTGCCTGGTACACGTCCCAGCTGGAGGTGCGTGGAGCGAGCCTCAGCCCGCGTTGGGCCCTTGGCTGTGAGTGGGTGTCAGCGGGCTGCGGGTCCTGTGACTGGGAAGGCACTTTCCAGAAACCCAGGGATGTGGGGGTGAAGCTTCTCCCAAGGGCCCGTGTGGAGCTGTGGTGGTGAGGAGGCGTCTCAGCTGAGCGGCGGTGCCTTCAGCCGCTCTCAGGGGCCGTCATGGGGGCTCTGGTGTGTGCCCTAGGCCGTCAGAGGGGCCGGGCTGGGCTGCACCTCGAACCGACAGCACTGATGGCGTTAGAGGGGGTGGGGGGTGCCTCTGCGGGACCAGAGGTGACCCCCCGGGTGGGCGAGCTCCGAGTCCACTGAGACAGGGCCCCCCCCGCCCCCCGCCCTGTGCAGACAGGGACGGCTCCTGCTCGCCTGCGGTGCCTGGCACACAGGGGTGCAGAATATGTTTCTTCTTCAGTATGTTTTTAAGTGAGCAAATAAACAGCCTAAAATAAATGCCAATGGTGTTCCTAAGGTCACCCGTGAGGCCGCCAGAGTCCAGGCCTCTTGGCTGCTGTGTCCACCAAGCCTCTGGCCGCCGGCTGCCCACAGCGGAGGGTCTGTGGCCCCTGGTCTGCTTGGCGCCCTATCTCCCCCCAGGAGAAGGCCTAGGGGCTGGGCCCAGCCTTGCCTCGCCGTGGCTGTCCGGGCATGGGGCAGGGCGCGGGCTCGCTGGCCCCGGGCGTGGGTGGCCGCTTTCATTCCAGCCTCAGGAGTGGCCCAGGCTCTTCCCTCCTCGGACTGGCCCCGGCCGCTGGTCCGCTGGATGACACTCGTGGGTGGCCCGTGGCTCTTCTTCCTCGTCCCGGGCCTGGGACACGTGTGTGTGTGTGTGTGTGTGTGTGTGTGTGTGTGTGACCCCGGCCTGGGTCCTGGGGCTGGGGCTGAGGGTTCCCGGCTGGCACTGAGGCAGGTGGCCTGGCAGGCACGGGGGCACGGCGGCACAGCGGCCGGAGGGGCAGAGGCAGCAGCAGCTTCTCCGACACGTCGT